GTTGATCTGTTTGCAAACAGGAGCCGGAGGGAGGAATCTGCACAGTAAACAATGGAACAATTTACTAAAAATAGCCTCTTTTTTTGGAGTTCGTCATCTTATATTTCTGGCATTTTCATGGCTCTTACAAGGCAAATTGCCTGAATGAAGTTTACAGGAGGGGAAGGGCTCAGTAACCTTCATGCTTGTGTCTGATATATAACATCACCCTGTTGCTGATGCTTTTACCCAGAACCAGAGAAGGGCCTGAACCACATCCGGATATATTTTTTTTTATTTGGCTGTGTTAAGGATATGAGGATTCCACTCCAAAACCACTGTCTCCTGTAACAAGGAAGCTAAACTCAAACGGAATGTGGACAACTCAATATAAACTAAAAGGGCCGTGGACACGGAATCACCACGTTCGTCCGGATATCCAACCCCTGACTAAACTCAGAAGATAATGGGAGGTAGGGGTCTTTAAAAATAAAAAACATGTTTTTCTTCTTGCATCCTCTTTACCTTTCCTCCCTCCCCCTTTGCATCAACGCAGCAATGGGAGAATGAGTCACTAGCTCAATCGTTCTCCAAGCCCCTCGCTGCAGAAGCTGTGAATGAACCTCGTCTGTGTGCGTGTCGGTACGCACATGTTTGTGTGCATGTACTTGGAGTTGGGTGGGGGAGGTGGCGAGTATAAAAATAAAGTGTTACCTTGGCTAATGTGTCTAATGTTTGCGGTCGGATTGTGTGAACCATATGTGATGAGTTTTATCTGTTAGAGGGCGCTGGCTGTGAGGAAACATGCAACCACCCCAACGTGGGCTTATGAGTTCACATCTGAATGGATATGACCATGCAAGCCACTTCAATTGACTACACTGTAGAAAAAAAATAATGGAGTGAACAACTCAGTACCTGCGCCATAGCACATGCCCACTGTTTCATGATGGTTACATATCCTTGTTGCCCACTCAATAGTCACAATGTAAACTCCATGGAAGGCATTGAATACATTCAGGGGTAGCAAGTTGAGGAATATGTAGGAGGAGAGACCACGTGTCAACAGACTTAATGAAAGTTAGCATGGAGAAAAGGAAGGACATGCCTGAAAAACTGACACATTTATGTCTGAATCTTTTGTCCCTTGTGGCAAAATAACTTTTATCATGATTTAATCTAAGAATTTGGCTTTTAATGGTTTCATTTGCTTCATTCGTGTATGGTCACCTCTAAATCTGTTTTAAGTATAAGGCTCCTGAAAGTAGATGTGAGGCATTTACAGATCCTATTATTCATCCCAGAGAAAATGTGACTAATACTTTGTGGTGCAGGGGATGATTTTGCATCTTAGATGTATTTGTCTTCAAAAATAAGACTCTTCATTACGGAGGATTGCAGAACACTATCATGTACATTTTTCTTATGTGCTTGTTGAGAAATGGGACCAAGAGGTTCCCAATACTGATATGACACTGTCCAAATTACTTCCTTAGTCCATTAAAACCGTTTTCAGTCAGTTGTATATTCGTGGAACCGCCACACCTTTTTGATGTCGTATTAAGCCAGGCTCTGCGAAAATATTTCTGCTACTTTCTGAAACAAACAACCATCATTCCCACTTACCTCGTGTTGTGATTGTAAGCTGAGTTTCAGCTTCACTCTAGATGCCTTTTTTTAATCTATTCTTGTCACTTTTTATGTGTACAACCAAGTGTATTACTATGAATGTTCAGGAGAAACGTGTGATAAACCTATTTCCAAAACAGACTATACTAGTGTATTTGCACCTCTTCACCGCACAATGTCAGATGCTCAATGGTGCAAATCCTGTCTGCCCAGTTTCAGGGGCAGGCGACATGACAGCCTCAAGTCCCACTGATAGACTTGCACCATCAGGAATGAGATGAGGTATTTCACAGCTATGGCATCAGCGATAAGGGACAAGTAGGCAGATGGGCTGACTGACCAACCAGTATCTCGCAGAGGACACTGGAAAAAGGGTTACAAGTGAGCCAGGTTTATGCATTCACATACCAGCGTTCAGACACTCTCTTTAGCTCCCTGTCGTAATGCCAGGAAGGTTTTCTTGGCTTTTGCTGGATAAGGCACATCTCTATCAGACTCAATAAGCTGAGTGGAAGTAGACGGTGCTTTCAGCCTTCATCCACAGACTGAATCATCCAAAGTGATGTGAATCACCGGCAGGCTAAGTCAGATAAAGAAGTGGATCTAATCAACCCTATGGTCCTGATGCTGACTTGCCTCATCATTCACAGAGCTTATCAGGTGGAGTATCGCTTTGTGCCAGTGATACAGCCTTCAGTTGTACAGTGGCAGACGCTGAGAAAAGACAACTCGGGGAGCGCAGGGGATCGTAAGGGCACGTCCACTCACGTAAAGATCTCCTCTCATGGCAATGAGGAGAGCTAGCAGGAGAAACTAAATGGCTACTCTAGCTTTCTTCGCTAAAGGCCCGCCCTCCAAGGAAAATGACATCCATAAACTGCATTTTACAAGATTATCTTTTCATATTGAGCAGGCAGTCATGCGCTTACACGTAGAAATTACACACATCCAGCTGCTAAAAATACATCATTGAATACACAAATTGGTGTGAGACGTAGCATATCCTGTAAAATATGTGTAAACCAGATCTGGCTTTGTTACTGTGACTCACGCCGTCCCTGTCAGTACATACTAGGGTAAAAGGTGAAAGCATGCATATGCACAACAAGCACTTAAGTGAACAAGGATACTTTTTAGTTGTGGACACACAACAAACCAAACCAACCAATGTGCATACATGGCTGCACGCAAACACATACACTCTTCTTTCTTCCTCCTTGCACCGCAAGCGGTGAGTCATCCCTCTATTCGCGTCACTGAGAGATGAGTGCACCCTGTGACAGGCCAGTTAGAAGCAGTCTCACTGATCTATGTGGCACCTCTTTCCCTTTGTTTCTCCTCTGATGGAGAGACTCTGTATGCTCGCTCCCTATTAGGAAGGTTTACTCAGCTCGTAATGGGAGGGCTGGTGTGGGAGCTCAGTCAGACCGGAGCAGGGAGAAGAGCCCCTGCGTGAGGAAACTGTATGATGGCTTAAAGCCTGTGAAGGATCCTCATCTAAACCTGAATGCCTGAGGCCAATTGTCTTATCGTCATTCATATACGTCACAAGGCATAGTTTAAGGCTACAGACAAGACATACCAGTGTCTTTCCACAGTGAGACACCACTAAGCACTGGATAATACATTGGTCATTACATATATGCTAAAATGTCGAGAGCCTGCCTGCTGTAGTCACAAAGGGTAGCAATCATTGTTTCCTCACAAACCGTTATTAGGCATCCTTTATCTTTCTTTATTACATCAAATTGAAGGGAAAAAAAATGTTCAGTGAGCTCACAGAAAATGTCAATATGCAGATGTCCGTGGAGCATAACAAACAAAGCCAATCATTTTCAGATCTGTGTTTTCCCGGGCAACTACATTTTATCATAATCGTTTACAATTACTGCCCCACAGCTCTACCTCTTACTACTCCAGCTGTCTTCCGTTGACAATGTCGGCGACGTGTTGAAGCCAGACTTCATTGTTGCTGTCACAAAGCCAGCGCAATCACCAACAATTAAGGATAAGGAAATGACTGCCATGAGGACAAATAACAATGTGTAACACATCTCACTCAAACACCGCCTTACTGCCCTGACTCCTCTACCAACACACTGTAATCATACCATATGCTTGTTTTACATTATGGTAATATACAGGCACACTGATCGTTTTTTTAATCTGTCAAATTAAACAGGCAGAGCGGCTTGACAAACGACATACAGCAAAATAGCTAAGGGGGGGGTAAAAGAGTATGACAAATCAGGAAGATAATAATGCAGGGTGGGACATTTGGTACTACAGGAAGCGTTGTAATAGAATCAAATTAAATTAAACATCACAGTTACTTTACTGATGTATAAAGACAATGGTATGTTTTGGGTAAGGAGGCATGTGTGTGTCTATTTAAATCTGCTGTATTCTACATCAAGTTAGGATACTTTTTTTTTTTTAATTCAAATCTTTTGTGTTATCTCTTTGTGTTGTGTTTCTATGCGTATAAGTCACGTGTCAAATTTTTTTTAATTTCATTAAAACATATCGATGCAGTTGCATGACACATTTGTTCCATCTGTACCGTTCACTATATTGGCTGGAACCATAAAATGCTATTATGTCATTGAGCTGCCTGGGAGCTGCTAGACATGATGACTGTCTGTCTCCTGTTGTCAATCCTGTAAAATACGTCAATGGATCCCGGCCAATCCCCTCCCTTTTAACTGCACACACTGAACAAAGCTGAGAGAACTGGATAAAAGGTGTTTGCTAGAAATAAAAAGGGAGTCAAGCAAAGATCTAGCTCTGCTAACCAGATTATGCTTACACCTATTATAACCTAACACTTGGTAAGATGATCAGACTCAAGCACCAAATGAATTTTCGGGGTGTCAGCATTGAATTTAAAAAAGCCTCTCCATCGTAATCATCCATTCAAACAGGCAGAGAGATTCTAAGCTTTATTTTATATTTGTTTGCCATTCAAAAGTGAGTACATTTCAGAGGGGAAAATATAGATTTAATTCAAGCTGATTAACCGGACACATGTAAAGTTAAAACCTCTTCTCTTCTTTAGGTGTCTGCCTTAATGCTTTGGAAATGTTTTCTACAGAATATCTTTATATAACTGTGCATTTCTACAGATGACCAAATTGAAGACTTGGATTATTTATAGTTAATAACCTATTGTTGTGGTTTTACACATGCACTTACTGGTCTGAGGTAATGCACAATAGAACCATTTATTGCTCTGAACATAATGTTTTTTTCTATGTGATTTGCACAATTTTTCCTTCATCCCTTAGTGAAAGCATGTTGCAAACCACTTATCCTTAATGTTTGGATTATTAGTGAAACACTTTTGAATCTAGGATTACATGGAACATCTATATATACAACATCTTTCTTACCTGTGATACACTGAAACTGACCATCCTCTCGTCGAATAGTGAAGGCCTCTCCTGGGTTTACCTGCACCAGGATTACCTGTGGAGAAACAAGGCAACATTTAATTAACAACATTACATGTTGACATTGTGTAAACAAAATGACTCTGGCATTGTAGAAACTCAAGATAGTTGCAATATGTCTGTGAAATTATTTCCTTAGTGTGAATAAAAGTAAAAACATTTGTGTGAAAAGCACACAACATTCTTAACAGCAACTGTGTTTGGTGTTACACCAACAATATGGACACCTGAAAATCATAGTGAGGAAAAAATCAAACCCATTGAGAGCTTTTCTGTGCAAACATAATTTGTAAAAGTGGCAGGAGTATTACCGCAACAATAAGAACATAAAACACACAAAACGGTTTGCTATGAGACAAATGCTCCAACCTGATTTAAAAAAGAGACAAAAATTGAGGAAACCTCAAACCAATTTCTTTTTAGGACAAAGCACGTATTTACAGAGAGCAAGACTGAGGTTCAAAGAGGGGGAAAAGGCTAGGGCTGCTCAATTAATCGTATTTGAAATCGCAATTACGATTTTGGCTTGCAACGATTATGAAAACAACATAATCGAAATAAAACGATTATTTATTGTATTTTTTTAATTTTAATTTATTTTTTCAGTTGAATTATACTTAAAGTTCAGGGTAATCAACTGTTAAAAACATACAGTTCACTTTTTTTTAATAAATTAATGTTTTCAAAGTAAATGGATAATCGTTTTTAATAATCGTGATATCAATTATTGACCCAAATAATCGAGATTATGATTTTTGCCATAATCGAGCAGCCCTAGAAAAGGCTTTCTGTGTTCTCCATTAAATTGCAAAAAAATAAAAAAATGTAATATGGGAGATTGGAGAAGTGTGAACACCAATCAACCCTGCCATACCTGGACTATGTTTGCTGTGGTGGTCAATTTGACTGGTGTTACACATTATCAATACATAAGCTCATGCTCTGCGCTACTTTCACTGTCAATTACAAGCTTTGTCAACCGTAGAGTGAAGGACTGTTTCTCAGAAGCCGTACAGGGAAATAAACACAGCTCAAATGCACATCAATGTGTATTTTCAGTTCATTTTGGCCGTAATGATCATATTAAGCACTTGATGAGTTGACCTGAAGACTTTAATGAACCAGTAAGTAATATTCAAACTACAGAACATTTTGTAAATCGATGACATTAATTTGTTTAATTAACTGGATAACATTTTAAAAGGATGCATAGTTATATTACTTTCATATTTTAAATGTGAAGACGAATCAGTTTTCTCTTCCCTATTATAACATGTCATAAAATAACAACCACCTGTACATTTCAAGAACATTCAACAGATGTTGCCAGCATGAAAAAATAAGGAAGGAAGGGAAGCAATTCTTATCGTAATCCATTTAGGAAAAAAACAGCCAGTCTTCATGTCTTAAATATTTTTTGTGTCAATATTTCCACATACAAAGCCAAGGATATATGATTTTGTTAAACTGAGTTGTTTCTCCACATTCATAGTTTTAAAACATCTTGATTTATCAGGCATTACACACATTTAAAGCTTCAACCATAAACCTCCAAATTCTAATCTATTAAAATCTCCCATTTATTGAGTTTATGAAGCCTGTTGGATATCAGGTAAATCGACACTGCTACCATATACTGAGACACACTGCCTTTGTCATAACAAAAGACTAGAGAACAGAACAGGAAAAAGGTGATTTTTAGCAAGGAAACATTTTTTCAAACCACTCAACATTCTTGTCAATGAAATTAAATATTTGACGACTGCCAAATAAAAGTAAAAATGATTAAATGCTGAAGACAAATATGTATCTACCATTCACCAAATCAACAGGTCAGAATAGGTTAATGAAAGCAAGATCACTGAAACTCTCTCCGAATCATCTTTAATTCTCTTAACTAATTCTTCTTAACTCCTAAGGAGCCCACATGATTAGGTTTTAGTTGCCCGGCACCGTGTGTGGGCGCTAGTTACCTCACTCTTGTGGAAGTCGCTGTCATAGAATCTACACTCCCCTGGCAGAGGGCTTTGGCTACGGTTTTCTTCAGGCACAGAAATCATCAGCACCTCCATCTCTGACACTGCTCCCATTCATGTGCTCAGCAGGGAGAGGAAAGAGCCCTTTGACTGCCGCACACACACAGACAGAAGCTCATATGCTCATACACACCCATACAGGCAGCGTCAGCAGCAAGTGTAGATGGTGGTGGGAGGGGGGTGTGGGGCAACGGAGGTCTAATTGAATCAAAGTCTAGGCACTTCACACACAGTGGGGTGCATGTGTATGTTTGTTGTCCACCCCCCTTCTGTGTGAAGCAAACACTCTTCTAGGAATATCAATCTTTACATTGGGCGTTACATTGAAATCAATACAGAGACATCCATTGCATGTTCATGTCACAAAACAGAATTGCTAATAAAATATCTGACGGCTACTTACTGTTGCCCGCATTGCTTTTTCCTCATTCAGGCGTTGCTACTCACGCAGTCACAGAGAAAAAAAAAGAAGAAAAAAAAGATGCTCCAGGGTCTACCAGACCCTCCACCACTTTACCCAACCCTCATGAGAAATCACATGACCCGCAATGCTAACACATCTGGCTGGGCTGATCCTTTACACCCTCCACTTCCATCCACTCCTGCACAAAATCCAGGAAGAAACAGTCGAGAGAGACGAGGACGACGAGGAGCTTTGTAGGAGGATGGGGCTTAGCCTCTTGCGCTGGATGTAGCGTTCACATAAAGTGTGGCGTAAATCTCATGTTTGCTTAGCCTGGTTCAGCCTCATCTGCTCCATAGCGGCGCACTCTGCAGCAGGCGGCTTGTTCACTCTTGCCTCTGGCTCCAGTGCAGCCTCCCTACCGTCAGTATCCACAGCAACCCCTTCAACAAATAAGCCACAGCGATGTCCGTGCCAAACCTTCAGAGAGGGGATTGAAACCTTATCAGCAGTGGCCACTCTCTGGAAAAGGAGGCGGATGAACCCAGGAAAACCGGACCAAATCTGAGAAGGATGATGCCTCAGTTTGCTATTCAGTTCCTCTGTCACTGACTGTGTGCCAGCTCAGTTTACGCCTGCTGTGCTCCTTAACGTGGTTAATTTCTATAGCATTCCATCAGGGCGTGTTCACAACACAGCTAAGCAGGTATAAGGGTTCCACTGCGTGGGGAGTCCTTTGTTCTGCCTTTTTTCACAACAACAACAACGGTGTGAGGGAGAAGAGCGACCCACGCAGCTTCTGAGGCTGACATATACGACTACGCTACAGTGTCTCTCCCTCCCCCCGTGTCTCTCCCTCCCCCTCTTACTCTCTCTGGCTCTCTCTCCCATTCACAGAGCGACATGCCATACACCCTCTCTTAATACTCCGATCGATGCGAGAGGAGATGAGGTGGTGGGAGTTCCATTTCAGAGCTCCAGCGCTCGGCGACAATTGCACCCTTGAGTTCTCTTTACTGTCTTCAAAGATCACAAAGCAGCCCACTGACAGTCAAAACAGAGACACAATAAACAAGAGCTTGCAAGTATTCACTGCTTCTGTAACATCTGTCCTTATTCATTATAATGGATCATTCCTTAAAGCGACAGTGCTGATAACTTGATCAGCATGTGCCAAGTTAACAGATACGTCTGCGTCACTGATACTGCTGTGCAAGCGGTAAACCTACAAAAAAGCACAACCTCTTAAAAAAACAACCTATGCTTGTTATTGCTTCTTGTAAAATGATAAGAAGGTGATTTGAAGGGATTACATAGATATAACCACTAGCAGTAATGATCAGGAGTAGAGTATAGGTGTATGCAGTAAGATGACTTGAGGGAAATATGAAGTTACATTTATTTTTGAAAGATGAAGAATGCTAAGAAACAAAAACACACACTATTTCTAAAGTGTTGAAATCAATTACATCTTTTGATCATGAGGCTGAGAATCTGTTCAAACAAGAATCTATTTTTCAACACAATCAAGAAGTTATTACCAAAATCCCAATGAAATGAACTGTTGTGTGTTTTTTTAAATAATCCAACTTTCAATTTTAATACATGCTGATTTTCTATCTTTTTGCAGGAAAAAACATACTGTATATGCAGTGGCGGCGCCAGGGTATGGCTGGGGTAGGCTACAGCCATACCAAGAAATGGCATAGCCCCACCTTAGCCTCACCATGAAAAATGATGTTAAAGTAAGCACATTAAATTAAATAATAAGAAAATGCTAAATGTTGAGAACACGGCTTGCGAACATATACAGGTCGTGTCCACAACACTTAAACTGATCCTGCTGTAACAACAAGTGCACGTTACTGATGCAATATGGTTGAGACCATTCGGGGTTATGCTAGAAGAGGGGTGCAAGGAATAGTCTAAGTAGTGGGGGAGTTTTATACACTAAAAGGTGTGGAAATTCTCTGGCGTTATAATATCATTTGAATAGACCTACAGCCAATCAGAGCAACGAAACGTTGGGTCTGCGTCATGCATTACTGATTGAGATCGATCGGAACCGCCATTCAGTATCCCCATTGGATCTTCAACGTGTACTATCATACGTCACGTTCACGTGACCCCTTTCTATTTACTACAAGACAAATGTGCCGTTTTATTTCATACAGTTCCATTCTGATTGCGACAGGGAAATAATCTAAACCTCACGCGTGGCATTTCACTGTCAAGGGGGCGATATAGCGTGTATGTAATTACATTGCAAATACTGACTTGAGCCCGACCGCTGTATGGGTTAGCCCTACCATAGATTACCCAACAAAAATACTCTGGCGCCGCCACTGTGTATATGTCCACGAAGCGATTATAGACAGACAACTGCAATCTAATTTTAGACAGTGAAGAACGCCATTAGCAACCTTAAATAAACAAATAAAATAAACTCTAATCTTGGCACTAGCCCCGTTTTCTGTTACTTGTTGCCATAGCCCACATATTTACTGCACACATTGGAGCTATAGTTACAGAACAATTTATATAAACAGTCTGCAACTGGAAGGAGGTTTTTGCAAG